CATCGCACATCTAAAGAAAATCTACACATACAGTTAGAAACATATTTGCCTGTAGATGTGCAAAATCCCTTCATAGATTAAAATAGGCTAAAACATAAGCACAAAAATTTAATTTAAAAAATAACATGGGCCTCATGGGCTGCCCCGTTGGTGACGAAATAACTACAAAATATAAACAGAACAAAAATGAAGAACTTCCAATTACATGTTCTATTTACAGCGTGGGGTGAAAATAGATAAGTTCTCACAATACATACTTTTGGTCGAGTTTTCGACCACGGGACGAGCTCTAGTCCAATGCTAAAAGACTGATTATGGTTGGTAATTAAATGGTGATACATATTTCCGTATTAAAAGTCAATAGTAAAAGATAATCTCACTCTTGAAGTATTACTTTAATTTGTTTCTTAACTTGCTTAATTATGTTAAAACTATCACCACAAAAAAATGTTAATCAGTGATTCATCAATTCATGCATCAACATGTAAAGTACAAGACAGCTTAACAATTACTCAAAGTGTAAAAACCAATCAAACCACCTGTTGTGATGAATGGGATTGTTATCTTGTCAGCTGTTTAATTAACAATCAGCTGACTATAAATCAGCTGATCTGGGAATTCGGCTGCGTTTAAAACCTACACCAAACCGTTATGAATATTCATTGTTGTATCTAGAAGATGAAGGGTTCCGTATAATATGATTAAGGTGATCTAAGGTCTTTGAGGAGAAGCTTTGTTTACCTAGCTGTTAGTCCTAGTTATGTTGATGGGATTATCAGTAAATATTATAATTCTATATAATTTAAAAATTATTTTAATACAGTTTATTAACTAAACTTAGTGGCTTCCTATTTATCCTTGCATCTATCCGTCCACGAGAAACGGATAAAGCAAGGCAAGAGGTGAGATATCTGTTTTAAAATCCAAAATAATTAATTATAGGCCTATTTTATTTATTTTTTTGTGACAAGCGTGTTATATATTTTCTTATAGACCTTTAAAAGTTTTTTTCTGGCTGTAAACGAAAACTTTATCTTGAGTTGTTTGTGATATATTCTGATTACGATGATATAAAATTGCAAAGATGAATTGTATTATTGAAAATCGATAGTAGCTTATTTATGCTTAACAATAAAAAACAAGTGACTTTTATGTAAGCTTGAATGAAAACTCCATTAAAGTAAAAATAAAAACTCATATACCCGTGTATTGCGAAAACACACATCAAACTATAAAAACATGATCAACTCCGCGGACAGTAGTCTCCTAAAATGGTTTCCCACTATTCTTCAAAGAATATGTAGAATAGAATCATATAGAATCAAAGCTACATTGAGTAGTGCCTTAATCGACCTAAATTTAAGTTATTTTAATATGAGAAAGCTTAAAATAATGTTGGTAACAACAATTTTTTATAATCCCATTAAAATATTGTTAAATTGTTTAAAGAGATAACAGAAAACATTGAAATATTTTAGTAGGCTAATACAATAATTTGATCGAACGAGTAAACAAAAGTTTTTAAGTTGGTTTTTAAAAATCCAATACGCTTGCAGAGGTCTAATTAAATAGTTGAATCGTAAACATACAAACGGAAAGTACACGTGTTAAAAGATTGCAAGCTGCAAAGCTTGTTAGCGACGATTGTCAAGAATTACAAGTTTATTTTTTTATAAAACCGATGATTTCTAAGAAAACCTTCCGCTCTTTTCAAATGTTAATTCATTTTACAGAATATTTACAGTGTATTCACAATAATTACATCTACTTAAACTTTACAAGTGTGTCATTTATGGTAGAATTTTATATTTTAGTCCCAAGTTTTAACTTATTAAAAATTCTTGAATGAAGTTCATTGTTGGTGATGGTGAGGTAATATTGTTTGAAGGTTTATTACGGTCTTTTTCCATCATAATGGTAAAAAAATTAAATTGTAGGAAAAATCTACTTCTCAAAAGAGAATTCACAAAAACTGTCAAATATATCATGGATTTTCTTATAATTCTCAGTCTTAATCACATAATCATGTAATTAAGAGATGGATTAATCCACTTAATTTTCTCAACAATCATAATCATTTAAGGTAAACACTTTGTCAGTAATTCCTCACTGATTCTTAAGTGAGTTGTGGTAACGCACCATCACCATTCAACTGATTGAAAACCATTACTTAATGAATGAGTCATTTAAACCCACTTGATGAGACCAAACCCACTCGCTCGTGCAAGTTAAGGAATCAATTAAGATAATTAATAAACTTCACATTAGTCGAGGTCAGTTTTATAGTTGCCTTATGCACTTGAGGAATTTTGCGGGAAAAATGTAGAGAGCGTTCCAACCCTACTAAATGTACATAGGTAAGCGAAAGTTGAGAAGGACAATGTAAGGTGACTGTTCTTAGTTTAATTTTGTCCGTTATTTGTAAAAAAAAACATGTTTAAACCAAAAGCTTTGTTATTAGCTTGGGTGTTGGAATATCGGACATTATCTTTTTTCAATAAAGTCCTCGGTTTTAATCTCTATACTGCAAAACTGTTACACAACTCTTCTGTGCTTACTTATTATTATTTATTATTTATTGTGAACTTTGTGGTGAAAGTGTTATACTCTTATTATTTTCATTGATATGCACATTGCACACACGTGTGCATTTGAAAGTTGCAAGTCGATCCTTAAAGTTTAGGAACCCATGAAAAATAGGCAAAATGTGGTTCGGATTCCACTATAAACTGTAGGCCCCCTTAGTTGTCATTAGCTGTCTGTGCTATTAATTAACAGCTGTGTTTAAAGAATATTTCGGTCTTAGTCACTAACAAGACTACAAGATCGCGCCACTCATCCTACACTCATCTTGGCTTAAAATACCTACTTTGTAAAAAATACCATTTCAAACAAGTAAAGTACTAATGTTTCTTTTTTTTCATTTACTAGATTAAACCTAAAGCTGAAGATTGACCCCAATCCCTCAGATAACGGAATAATCCCATAGATTAATCCCTTCACTATGCAGTTGCGTACTTAGTGTTTGAATTTATAAAAAACTTAAAGTAATTGATGATTAGTGTGATTTTACCCTTGTGTCTAGAACGTAAATCCCGCTCTTTACTGTTAGATTTAAACCCTCCCCATTCATCATCATCCTTGCAAATCTAGAATATTCAAAACATCGTTGAGTGTATATTTTTAACATATCGTCACAATGACATACATTTATGAATCTTTTTACTACCCTACCTAGCCTACAGATTTGAACACCCCTCAGCCGAAATTAAAACAAGGAAGGGTGTAAGCTAATCTAATCAAGCAAGGACAATGACTTGATTGTGCCTGGATGAGGGTTTGGGCCATCTAATTACCAGATTTAATGAAGACGTGCCAGCAGGTAAGATAATTCCCTCGTTACTTCAGTCTCAGCCGGTCGTATTTTAACAGCTGATTGGAAAGAAAAGCTCGAGGCGTCGTCATAAACTGAAGAGCAGCGTCTTTAACATCCTTAATAAAGCCGTTGAAGATTGTATTCTGTTGATATTTTCATTATGGGAATTGAGCGTCGGTTTTGAGATTGAGTGCTGGCATTTGTAAATAATGTTGTAATTATTTTTGAAACCCCATTTGTAAGAAGTATTTTTTTTTTATTTTTTTTATGCTACGTACATATTTGAGATTGCCAAATAATCCATTCTTATGTTAGGGTCAATTTTACATTTCACACTTGGGGTAAAATACTTTAGGAAAAACAATATTATGTTTATGTAGACCTTTTAACTTAGACTGAATTGCATTAGAGGTGATTAAATTTCACTGAACTAATAGGATACCTACTACAATCAGCATTTTACATAATGTACTAGCTGCTGTATCCGTGCTTCGCAACGGGAAGAAAATTCAGTTTCATAATCATTGAAATAGATTTAGAATAAAATATATCATAAAGTTTTAGCTTAAAATAATCCTACCACATAGTTGTGTAAAATACATTTAAGGGGAGTCGCTACTGAAACTAGTGATTTTTAATAAAATCCTTTTAAAAATTATCATATATACTTTTTTAAGTTCATTTAGTCTTTGAAAATGATTTACTGCCGTTAAAGTAAAAAAAAAAATTTTTTACATACTTTTTGGAGTTTTTTAAGTTTTTTGGCGGGAAAAAATGGGGTTTTTTAAATCTCTTATAACTATTTAACTACTGAACCAATTTTATTGTTCGATATCTTATTTTAAAGAGCAAGGAAAGCACATACTTTCTGTGCATACTCATGTTATTTTCTCAATTAGTTTATAAGTTATGGCTTCAAAAATAAGTTTTTGAAAAATTTATAGGTTATAAATTTTTATAAATTTTTTTTCATGTACTTTTATTTACCCAATTACAATATCAATGCACAGAAAGTTGATTTATAGTATAAACAATGTGTGGTAAAAATTTCATTCATATAGCTGCAATAGTTAAAAAGTTATAAGAACTTATATATAAAAAAAAACAAAATTTTAAAGTCGCGGAAAACAGCGGTTGAAGTTTATACGTTGGTTTATACTAGGCCTAGTTGATGCCCCATAAGAGGTGTGCGCGCTTCACTTCAAATATTTTTTTCACAGTGAAAAAAATATATATTATACCAAATGTTATGTTTTTCTGAAACCTTACAATCCATAGAACAAGATAAAAAAATAATAAAAAAAATCAAGTTTTTTACAAAATTGGTAGTTTTTCAGTAGCGACTCCCCTTAATTTCTTTGGATCAGCTGTCTGAAATTGTGAAATGAGCATTTGACAGTTCTGATTGTTTACATTTAAATGTCAACACAAAGGTAAACATTGTGAACTTTCTGATGCTTTCATGGAAACCAATTACCCGGGCGCCCCCACCAATGTAAACCATAGGCAGTTTAATGTGTTTCAGAGGATATGTCTCTTTGCAATTCTCATAGTCAATCGTTTGTAAAAACTCGTTGTGACAATTCCTACAACTCCAAGTTCTTCAACATTTTCTTTGTTGCAGACACATGGGCCTCATAGAAGAAACTCCAGAAGTACTTCCCTGTGGCCAGACTCCTGGTCTGTCTCCTGGGCAGTCAAAGCTGTGCCACCTCTACCAGGACCACATGCCCGGGGTCGGCCGAGGGGCGAGGGCCGGCATCGACGAGTGTCAATACCAGTTCAGTCATCGTCGGTGGAACTGTTCAATCGTCCATGACTCTACAGTTTTCGGACCTGTTGTGAAAATAGGTAGGAAAAGAGGTTTCTATTGAAGTTTTTGACTATTCTTTAGCTGCAGTAATAGTATTTAGAGTGGGAAAAAGAATTATGTGGCTGCAGCCGTATTTATTAAAAAAAGAACTTTCTAAGGCTGCAGTGATTCTTTAGTATGTGTAAAGAATATTCTACAGCTGCAGTTTCTACAGCGTAGTAAAAAATATTCTGAAACTGCGGTGTTTCTTCAGTCTAGGAAAAGAATATTCTGCAGACTCAGTTATTAAATCTAACTAGGCTAGGAAAAACATATTTACAATTCTCTTCCAGAACTGTCTATACTTTTCCTCATGGACTGACCACATTCCTATTTTTGAATGGTGTTGTTGCCAAACTGTTCTTTTGGGTTGTCCATATTTCTATTCCCGGACTACCACACTTTTCCTCCTAGCCTGTCCACATTCCTATTTTTGAATGGTCTTGTTGCCAATCTTTTCTTTTGGCCTGTCCACACTTCTATTCCTGGACTACCACACTTTTCCTCCTTGCCTGTCCACATTTTTACTTCTGGATTGTCAACACATATGTTCCTAAACTGAACTATCACACTTCTACTCCTGGAATGTCCGCAGGCAGCAGAGAGGCGGCGTTCACTCACGCCATTGCCGCTGCCGGAGTTGTCCACAGCATCTCCCGTGCTTGCAGGGATGGACAGCTGGGCTCCTGCGGGTGCTCCAGGTCTGGACGTCCGAGGGATCTACACCGGGAGTGGATCTGGGGAGGATGCGGGGACAACCTGGAATACGGGTACAAGTAAGTGTTGACAAAAAAATACTGACTTACCTGTGGAGCATTTCATAGAAATCCATTTTCCACAAGAACATGAAACTTGTTAAAGTTAAGAAAAGGTAGTTTATTTGTGCTTGAACATAATTTAAGTTTAACTAGAATACTTTTAGGATAAAAATCGAGACCCTGTTAGTCCTTCTAAGCAGCTACCACAATTTTGAAAACAAGATTTCCAAAATTTCTGTCTTTATTAAAAATTATATACTTTTTTAGTCTTCATACGTAGCCGGTGATTTGTAGGCTGAAAAAGAGTCTATGTTATAGATGCTATAGTCACTGATGCCTCTTCAAAGTTAAGTCAAAACGTCTAGCAGTATAGGCCTAATTTCCAACTGACGACGTGGTTGAAGCCGAAAACCACTGTTGATTCCGATAGAATTTTGTATTCCTATTTCAAACCCAAAATTTGTTTTCTACTTTCGTACATACTACTATAACAGTTTTATTATTATGTTGGGGAACGAGATGGTCTAGTGACTTCAGAGCTCGATGTCCTGGGTTCAAATACCAATGGATTTCATCCATGTGATAATGCCGCAACCCTCTAGGGTCTGAAGTAATGTGTAAAACTGTCAGAACCTAGCGTCCTAGGATGTAAAGGTGGGACAAAAAACACTAGTACACTTTCTCTCAAACAATTCGCCTCTAGACACTAATTTTAGCTCAATTTCAAATGTGCTTGACATATCGGTTTTGAATACTCAGCTATGCCAGCTGCAAGCTACTAATCCCTCGTGGTTGCGTGTCTCAGGTTCACACAAGGGTTTGTGGACGTGAGGGAAAGAGAGAGGACATTCAGAAGAGGTTCAAGAGAACAAGGCAGAGCGCTCATGAACCTTCACAACAACGAGGCAGGCAGAAGGGTAAGCTTAGTCAAATTGTGTTTTAAATAAGAGAAAGTTATGCCTATTAGTCACTCAGGAAAGTATCAACAAACCTATACACAGATCATTTTGCAAAGTAAGTTTTAAGAACTCTTTACGTGCTCTATTCTTTGGTGACAGGAGCTATTAATGATTTAAGCAATGCTTCAGAAGTTTCTAGTAAATAGTAAAGAGATCTCTGCAGATTAAATTACCTACTTTTTCACATCCTTTATTGTAAGTTCCAACGATTTAGGTAAGTCTTCATGGGAGGTTCCTGTGATTAATAGAAAATAAATGTTTAAATATCTTGAACAACAGATCTCCCAAGAACAGAAGAAGATTTCAATCTGTTCTGTTTTTCGGCAATAGGAATTATTTAAACTACCCCTAATGAAGTTTCTTAACAAAAGTGAATCTCACAGTACAATTCGTGTTTCAGGCAGTGATAAAAACCTCGAGAGTAACTTGCAAATGCCACGGAGTCTCTGGATCGTGCAGTCTTATCACGTGTTGGCAGCAACTGCCTTCATTCCGACAAATTGGTTAGTATCATTGCTGTGATTTAGTTTGTTAGGTTAGGTTAGGTTAATCGTTGACTTAAGATCCTGAAACAGACATCACATTCTTTGATTGTGGATCGAACTAGACGTTCAATTCCAATGTCAAAGTTGTATCCTTGTCCACTGTCTTGACAGAATATCCTGCTTTTAGTCACTGATTTCTGTGTAATAACTTGAAGCAAAGCTAAAAGCACAACTTCGCTGCAATCTATAGAATCATACATGCTGCAGCAAACTATTTAAAAAAAGCTAAGGGAGGAAATAGAATTTTAACAGGAACACACTCTGTTAGAAGCGAACTCAACCATGTTATCTTTGAATAAAAACTTGTGGAAGCTGGTCCATATAGATATAATATCTTATTTCAGTATCCGAAAGTCACGGCTTAATTTACGTACTCCATTTTGTACACATCATATATATTTATTCTCAAACACAAGCTAAACTTATGTTCCATACTTTGTATCGTACTTTGACTGTTTTTCAATTCATGTATTTATATGAGGCCAGATGTGTATGTAGCCGAGCGGCGCCTAGTTGCATGTAGTCTTAGTTTATGCGACTCGTGGCTATTCTTGTAGCTGTGGGTCGACCTGTTTGATATTCCTAAAAATCTGCTAAACATTCTTCTCGTTGAGCTCCCCCGTGTCGTTTCTGTTGTTTATCGTCTTGTGTTACACGGATTAGTTCTCATTCCATTAGGTATGTTGAAACCGGGCCAAATTATAGCCACTGTAACAGTGGTGGTCTTTTCTGGTTCTTTTGTTGCACGTGGTTGTTATACGAATGTACTGTCTACTCGATTAGATTTTTAATAATTAGTCAACCTTATAATAAATCAATAATAAATAGCTAATACCGTAACTAATAAATAGTATGTTCTACTGAACTTAATTTTTACTTTCTCCCCCTATGGATACCTAGTATATGGAGAAAGTATTGTTTAAATGTTGATCTAGTGTGGCATTCCCATGACAAAGCGTTTATTCACACCCTAACCTCTCTAGCTGACGAAAGCAACTTTATTTCAACCGATGTTTCACATAGGCAGTTCTAACACCTAACCAAACAGCCAAGGAAGTAATAAACATTATCTTGTATCTAGAGTATTCTGCCAACACAACACAGGATAAACACACAAGTTAATCCTTTGCTATCTGTTTATTCTAAGAGACGTCTTAAGGAAAGTCCGTAGACTCATTCTAATTTCACTTTTGATAAGTACGACCATAAAAGACACGCACGTCAAGCCTCGTCTAGTGTAAAAAGCTTAAGTTATTCACCGCTTGTCTAAATCCGTTTTCGTTTACTCGCTCTTGTAAAGCGGCCGAACCGTTTGTGAGGATTACCGCAAGGCTTATTCTTGGGACCAACAATATTTACTGTCAACAGCCACGCCTAGCTTGCGCCTGTTGCACGTTTAAAGGCACTTGGGATTGTGAATCGAGAACATAAAAATATATCTAACTTCGTATAGTAGCTTTACTGTGTTCTGCAATTAACCAAACAAAGATTACCATCAAGAAGAAAGACATTGGTCTAAGTCCGATTTTTCATAGTTCCTCTAACCTTCATATGTTCCTTCGCATGTTTTATATAGAGCGTTCTATTGTCGGTATCCACTAAAGGCTGTCCTTGTTTAGTAATGTTTCCATAACATAACCTAGGCCTGTCAACTACATCTGAACTCCTGCAGACGTTTGACAGGGATACGCTCGGTTTAGCTTGTCATACCCGATTTATGCATTCGCCAAGGTCAGTCCACAGTTTGGGTGGCGGTCACGCTCACTTGACCTTTGTACCTCTTTAGATCACGTATCGTTCTCCTTCCAAACAATCCAATCCAATACCTTATCCAACCAAACAATTTAGTGGTATGGTACCAAATTCCTACCTTTTGGTAATCAAAGATTATATGTGTAGTTTAGGATGATCAAACATGTTGGATTGTACTTAACTTTTTGCAAGACTTAAAAAACTTAAGTGGTAATGCTTATCTTAGAAATATATTCATATGCATGAAAGATCTCTGCATTCAGAGAACTTTATGATGCAAGATGCAAGTTAAGCTGTGTGGATGTGTTCCTTGTCTCTTAATCAGATGGTCACCAGTTCGAGCTTGAGAAAGGTCAGGACCTTTTGGTGGTTTGAAACGACCCCTGTCCTGGACCACTTAGCTTTTAATATCCTTAACTAAAGAACCAGTTGCTTAGTAAAGCTATCTCACATTCAACACACTTTACTCAATCCTCGTCTCCACCCTCTCATCACTAACCTGTACGTTTCTTTTGCAGGAGACTATTTAAAGGATAAGTACGACGGAGCCACAGAAGTAAGGGCGACAAGACGAGGCAAGCTGCAGATCAAAGACCCTCAGTTCAACATCCCTACAGCCAACGATCTCGTATACTTAGAGGAGTCACCAAACTACTGCATACGCAACCTCACTCTGGGGTCACTTGGTATGTTGAGGATCGATTGTGGAACTAGTAGCTAATGTCTCTTCACTGAAACTTGTGTTTGTTTTAAACTGATTATGAATGCACACTGGATGTAGAATCTTTGACTTTTGATGGGTGTAGCTGGGAGTGTTGTCACATTTTCAAAAAATTTAATTATATTTAATTACCTTGTTTGTTGCCTGCATTTCTTGAGCTGATCACAAACTACTAGCTCAAGAACGCAGGCCACAAGGTAATTAATATAGGTGTAGCATTCCATTACCATGTTAGAAAGCTTTAGCATAGATAAAACACACTGGCTTCCAGTTTTTGACGGAAATATAATGTAGGCCTAGTTGAAATAAAGCTACAGCAGCTCAATGCTGTGTAAGGTACCTTTTAGTAGTTAACCTTATTCCTTGCAGACTTTGCAGACTTTTTGGAAGTTTCCAGGATTTTCTAATTGACTGATTCCACAGAGAATCAAAGACCAGAGGATACACTCGACATTTAAAAGGCGTCTAGCACTAGAATACATTCCCAAAATTTGGGCAGTTTAAGGGAAAGGTTTCCTGGGTTCCATCACCTATTTGTTTAACTTAATGTATATTTTTTCATTTTCATTTCATTTCATCCAGCTGATCAGCTGTTCATAGTTAGGGTGAAGTGGAGGGGATGGAATCGCTTCCCCTCAAACCACCTAAATTTTGTGTACGGAGTTTAGTGTTGGTGTCTAGGGCGAATTCCAACACCGCCCCTCTCGCCATCATGTTGGTAATACAGCCTTCCCTGTGGAGGAAGACCCTGTGCGATAGGAATTTTCTTACAGTCCTCGCCCTTCAGGCTCTTTCTTACTCACAAGAGTATTTCTGGCCAAAATTCTCATTGTTAAAAGCACATGGTTGCCCATGGTGTTTCCTCTGTACATTTCTTTCATGTGCTGATACTCAAATATGAGTTATATGTTTACTGCTCTGAAGTCTATTTGCAAAATGTACAGTTCTAATATTATACATATCAATTACGTAAGGACAATGTTGTTAGGGTGACCAGGTCTTCACAAAGTCTTAATTACAGCTGATGTCAATAATTACTTATTTCTTTGACATACAAAGAATTTTTAATCAGCACAATTTTTTAAGTGCATAAATATTTCATGTTATTTGTATCACATTATTTTATGTTATTGCTGGTAATGAGTTATCAACAGTTATGTCAAAATTTCATAGTACCAAAATCTTTGAGAAAATTACATTCTGACAGCAGCACACTTTGGGAGTGGTTCATTCACTTATATATGCTAATTGAATAGACAGTTGACTTCATCTGGTTCATGTGGAGAATTCCTTCTTCAGTTTCCCTAAGCCAATTGAATTACTGACTAGGATCAGGTGGTTCTTTACGCAGGACCGTTTTTCCAATGAACAAGGATAGCTGTGTCCTGTTTTGAATGATCGAAAAGCTTCTGTCTTTTCTTAAGATTGAACTGTACTAACTTTCCAATTACTAGGCAAGCACTACTTTATTCCCTCACCCAGCTTGAAACAGAACTTTTACTTTAAACTCTGTTTTCTTGTTCTGTAATTAATTTATTGCACTTTCCTCCGCAGGTACGCAGGGTAGAGTGTGCAACCGGACGTCTCACGGCATGGACGGATGCAGTCTCATGTGTTGTGGCCGAGGCTATAACACACAGAAGATTACCATCAAGGAGCGCTGTCATTGCAAGTTCCACTGGTGTTGTTTTGTGGACTGCAAAACTTGTGTGAGGACTGTAGACATCCATACGTGCAAGTAGACGGAAAAACGACGCAGGAGGTTCTCCATTATACTTCAAAATTGGAAAAGGTTGAAATATTTTGATAGGCATAAAATTTTAGGTGCAATTAGTTTTGGCTCATAAATTCATGGAGCCATCATCAGGGACAATGATCATCACATGCCATCATTCTTGTGCCTGATGATGGCTCCATGTATTTATGATGGCTTGTTATGATCCTTGTGCTGGATGATGGCTTCAGGTAGAAGCCGAAACTAGTTGCACCATCTGCAATTTTATCGATTGCCTAATGTATTCAAACCTTTGTTAATATTATTGAGCAATTCAGAGGTCAGCACATTCAATTAATTTATTTGAATTTTGACTTTGGTCAAGGGTGTAACAGTATGAGTATGGATTACTTGAGGCCATGCCGACCTGAAATTTTTGGAACTAATGAGTAATCATGAAAATGAGGTTGTGAAAAATGGACAGGTAATACCACTATGGTAATGGTCCAACAGTTTTAAACAGTTAATAAACTGAATGTCCATTGAGTAGAATAAGGATAGAGTTCATCTATAGATCACCTTGAGCCCAGGGGTGAACCGATTCACAGTAAAAGCTCTCATTACCATAAAACTTGCATTTTGACTTTTTTCAAAGAGAGGCAATGTTACTCCAAAGATTCTTTTCGAGTATTTGTGCTCCAAACTCAAAATCATCTCAGTTTAAAATTTGTTTACCTTATGTGTAACTTATTGTCGAGTGAAAAACTCCCTTTTTTACACTTTTTCTTTTAGTTCAGAGTTTGGTTTGTATAACTTAATAACACTAATTTGGTGTATTAAGCAACAAAATTAATAAACATGTAAATGACTATTATGAATAATTTGAAATACAGTAGAACCTTGATAACAAGACTCTCATGGGGATCGTAAAATAAGACTTGTTATCAAGGTTGACTTCTTATTGAGGTCTGTAATAACATGTGATTAAGGGTAAAATAATTTTAAGGTGATTTGAAAATGACACTTGTTATTAAGGGCGACTTGTTATCGAGGGCCTTCTTATCGAGGTTCCACTGTACACCACCATTATTTTTATTATATCTTTCATGGTGCAAATTAAAATAGTCAATGGAGAATTTTATTTTGAGCTTTGCTATTTTATATTGCCTGCTATATAACATCTTTCCCAAAAAATGTATTGACAAATAATGGAAAACCATAGAAATACCTATTTTAGGTGTGCATTACTTTTTCAAACTAAATCAATGAATTGGTTCAAAATATTGTAGGTACTATAAGTTATATTGTAAACAAGGTTTTAGACAGTTCAAAATATGTTTTAAGTGTTTATATTTATGAATATGTTTTGCAGTGATAACTTTTTACGGTTAAAGCTTCCTAAAAAAATATTTTTGTTGGCAATGGTGTAAAAAATTAGCAATTTTCAAATAATTTGCCATTGCTAACATTATTCTAAAGACCTTTTGTGGCGTCACGATGAAACAGTGTATGTATCAGCTTTATGTTCAGACGATGAAAGTAATTGAAAATATTCCACATAAATTCATATAGGGGAACACATCATCTTTTAACAAGAAAGTGTGCATAATTTTCAGGCAAATTTGTATTTAGTTTAGAGAAGTAATGCATTCTTGATAACTCCTGTTTAATCCCACCTAGAAAAATCACGTTTAAAAATTCAATTTCTTTACTAATTTCAGAAGTTGAATTTTTATAGTACAAATTCACAAAATGTGTTATAATATTCCATTCAATCATTTGCTATTCATGTGTTAGCTTTAAAATGTACAGCTATTGAGAAAATAATTTTAGTACATAGTTCATTCCTGAATCTTTTTTAAAACTTTAACGGTTTGTGTGATAAAATGCATGGTATAAAAAAATCTAAAATTTCTCTTACAATTTATATTGCATTTTTTGTTGTAAATTGTATTAACTTCAGAACTTTTAAACTGAATACATTTTTTAAGTTCACATAACTGTAATATAGTAGCCCTGTTATATGTGTACTGATAAAGTTGTAGAAACTCTAAAAAAACACACTTATAAGTTAATTAATCAATTTACAAAATGCAAATTTAAATTGCAATTTTATTAATATCAGTTTTATTGTAATTGTAAAAATTGAATTCAAAATACTACTCTTTTTATTATCTTTTCTCATGCATTTCACCATTATGATAATATCATACTTGTACAAATTTATGTAGTTCATCGACTTATTATATAGACAAAGTATTGTATGTTATTAATTTATTTTGTATGTACAAATAACCTTTTTGTAAATAAAGTGTCTGTAACTTCTTTACTCTTTAACTTAAGAGAGGTTTAATAATATTGTGTATATTCAAACTACTGTGCCAAGGACGTTTTTGTGTTGTGGCATATTGTTGTTAAACATGTATAACTTGTACTTATTTGTATTTTGATATTTCTTTTATATGTTCATATAAGTGTGTGAATGGTGTCACTGACATATGTTCTGTGAGGCAGCATTAAAATGTTTAAAATCAAATAGCGTAGTTATTATTTCCACCTCATTATTGCCTAACCCTTTCAACCCTGTAGGCTGATACTGTACATCTGCCATCAAGATTAACCTAAATAAATCTCCGTTTAATTTATCAACCTAAATTACAACTACCAAGACACTTGTTACTGACAAAACAAGCTTATATTGGTATGCCTCTTTTCTTTACTTGATTGCCGATCAGCTGATATGCATTGTTGCATTGATATCTATGAGGTTTAGTGTTATTGGAGAATGTATTATAAACAAGACTCAACATGTGTTTTTGATAGTTCAAATTATTGTATGTTTGCGTTTTGGGGTTTTCTACTGATCCGATTTCCTTAAATATTTGACAATTCTATGAATAGTTGTTTTTCCATTGGAATCACACATGGCAGCCTTATTTCAAGCCTGTCTTGGCATTAAAATAATGATTTACTTTTGATGTACAATACATCCAGAACTATTTGAGCTTGCGAAAACCCCATGTTGAGTGTTAAATAAATCCCCAATAGCAAAACTCAGATAACTATTCAACAATGCATTGGCTGATTGGCAATGAACTATGGGTAACAACATATGAGCTTGTTTTGTTATCAAAAATTGTTTTGTAATTTGGTTTGCGTGAAAAAAACACCCTGTATAGTTCAAGAAAAACAGCAAGACATGTGCTGGAGGCCAGAAGTCAAGTTTAGAACTATTGTACTTTAGGCTACAGGGTTGTGGTGTATAGACCATTGGGGCTGGTCATTTACCAGTGTTTTCTAGACCTGAAGACAACACCTAGATTGAGGGTTTTGAGTCAGGTCTGGTGTGCAAATCAGAACTGAGAAGTTACCAGCATGGGAGAGCTAGTGGGAGAGATATATCCGCCTAAAAAAGGGCGGCTCAAGTGGAATCTTTGTGAGTTGCACATCAAATAAAAACTACAGTAAAATATTGCCTACAGCTGGTATTGTAGCCTACTATTGAAAGTCAATGGTCAATATACATGGGATGTCCATCAATGTTCAATGCTTTGACTGTGGATAGAACTATACTATCCAATAGTCGGTGCTAACTAACCATCGTGTTAGTAAACCTAATAAACTTAACGGACAACAAAGATAGGAAAGGCGAGTGGTCTCATAGTTAAAAAATGAAGTAAGACATTAGACATTACTCATTAAAAGTGAATATAATGTATGATAGGTGATATAACCTCCCAGATTGGGTAAATGCGTGGTGTTAACTTGTTCTTTGAAACCCATACATATGTGAGGTACTTCACCCAGGTGACATAAATTATACACATCTTATCTACAAGAACTTGCAATTCCTTCCAATTCATTTTTGAAATTGGGATAGAAATGAGAAATATGTGAGGATTTTAAAAAAGGACATAAAAAAAAGTATTAAAAAGATGGAAATAGCTAGGGCCAAAGCGCCAAAGGAGATTTTGAATATACAGGAAAATAACATATGTCAGTGTGAAGTGTGGGCTTAATGTATGGAAATAGAAGCAAAGGAGCTTTTGACTTTACAGAAAAATAACATATGTCACTGTGAGCTTTCATCCTGCCTCCTGCCTGGGGAAAAAAATGGGCAGGGGTCCAAAGCGCTCCACTGGTACGGTACGGGTACTATAATATATTATACCTCAATAAGTACCGTATAGGTATCTGAAACAGGAGTAGGCTAGGTACTGTACTAGTCCTGACTTCAAATGAATTTCTGTAAGTCAGAATGCTATTTTTTTCATAAGTATGAATGCAGTAAAACAACCCATCCCTACCACAAGAAAATTAATTCCATATAGCTACCCTACTGGGTGAGGAAGAGAGGCAATGTGAAATTGCTACGTTGCTATGTATTAAATTGTTGCATGTGTTTAAAGCACTTTCAAGGTTATTCCTAAGGTTGTTTTAGTGCGATTCTTCCCATATGCCGAATAATGTTCCAGGAATAATCGTGTGACAGTTTCATCAATCGTATTTAAAATTCAGATAGGTCAACTGACTCAACTACCAGGTGCACATATTAAACATTGCCTCTTAAGAAAAGTTTATTGAAAAATCCAATAGGGAGTCAATTGGGTTAACAAAATAATGATCTAGCTTCAGCTCAAACGTAAGAAGTTACAGCAGGAGTCTGTGTTTTATATGGTCAAAGATTAATGCTACAATATATGTAATGCATACATGTGTGGATAAACAATACATGCACTGTACGTTGTTGTGTCATGAACACCTCATTCACTATCACTTGTGGTGTCAACAATTTTTATGAGTTGTTACTTTCTCGGGGCAAATTTTCCAATTTAATTTAATATTTCTTCCTATCAATCTTATTTCACTATATCCTTATTAATTAATAAAAATGTATATGCAAATCCGTGTGCTATTGCATTTTGATTTGCTTAATTCAATGAAGAGAGCTACTTTATATAGTATAGTATACAGCACTAATGTATAAAGATACGATATTCTACAGGCATTGAGTTTATTTTAGTCTTGGCTGTTTCCATTGCTAATGTCGTCTGCTTTTAGATCGTCGTCTGCTCAACAGAAACGCCTCCTCTTCGTTGAGTGGTGTAGAAACGTGGAACAGAGGAGGAAATCTGAAGTTATGTTTTGAGTGATAATGTGAACTTATTAGTGT